TAAGGCCCAGTTTTAGGCATTTTTAGTCTTGGTGCAGCACAGTGAAGCTGAAGTTCTTCTACGTTAAGGTTTACAGGACTGGGCCTTAAAAAAAAAAAAAGAGAAAGAGACCCCAATGTTATCACTTACTGGTGACTGAAGGTTAGATTCTGTATTCTTGCACACTCTAAATGCTAAAGGGAAACAACGTGAAACCAGAATGCAACAGACATTTTCAAGTGTAGGAACTGCCTAAAATTGCTCTCTGCAAGAGCAAGCATTCTGGATTTTAGCAAACACTTGCTCACATGCAAGAAATGACATTTCAGTTTGAGGAGACAAAACATTTCTTTATTTGGCAAGGGTGAAGACTTCCTTTCTTCTCCACACAAAACAGAGGGATTCCTATAGAAATTCAGAAATGAGCACCATTAAGTATCAACACTATGTCTAAGCAGCATCTATAAGTTTGGTACGGGAGGTACAGAGCCAGATGGCAGCCAAAGAAAGTGCAACCTCTCCCATACCAGCTGAAATAACAGATAAAACCTGACAGCAGTGACCCTCTTAGCGTGGCTAATGTAGAAAGTGCTGAACCCGTTAGCAATGTATTTAGCAGAGATCAATATTTGTATAGTTAGTCCAGGGTAATAAATTGATAAAATGCATCAAACAGCATTATCTTCAGTAGTTTAAACTAAAACAGTTCAACAGTAGGCAAAGCATGTTCTGGGCAGTGCTGTGACCTTCCAGACAAGCACATCCTAGATGCTAAGGCCTGGAAACACAGTTAACTGGATGCATCTGAAAAAGCCATCCCATAACTCCGCACTTTCTCCCCTGAATTCCCCTTCATGCCTCTCACTTTTTCAATAGATTTTCTGTAGTGTGCATGAAGGTCTCCCTGCCAATTTGTCCTCTTACAACCCATTAATCCATTTATCTGTTCCACTTCAAAAATTAGACTTCCAGAAGCAGCACCATCCTACTTCTACACAGAAGACTTCTTCAGGAAGGGCTGCTGTAATGGTACACACAATCCAGCAGGCTGTTTAAACAGGGGTGGGAAAGAGGTTTTAAAAAAATTATTTGACATCATACCCTTTTATTGGGCATTAGAGGAGTTTTCCTAAAAGCCAGATCCACTGAGATGCTCACATACACACCCCCTATGCGACTGCCCCAGGCTCATTTTCTCATGTCCTATTTCATATGCATGCACACTGCTGTAATAATGCCTCCCTAGACACAAAGTAGGAAAAGCAACATATCAAGCCCCCAAATTAGCAAAGCACTTCACCACACGCATAAATTCATTCCTATTCAGGGATTACAGACTTGAGAACATGAGCACATGATTAACTTTAAGCACATGCTTCAGACCTGTTAACTTCAGTGAGACTTTCGATCAATCGGACTGAAGCACGTGCCTCAATGCTTTGCAGAAGCAAGACTTAAGGAAGGAAAGGTAACTAAGGTTACCGGGAACAAAAGTGCAAACTGTATATTTAAAATGCCACTTAAGGCATTAAAATGCACACAACCAAACCCACATGAGAGATCAAGACCCTGTCAACACAAATGCCCACTGGAAGGACGTATCTTAGGTTTATGTGTAATTTGTTTTTTGATATGTGTGATCTACATAAGGCCATAGACATTTAGCCTGCTGTTGGAAAGCACAGTTTGCAAAAATGGGACAGAATATTCAGACTTGAATTTTACATTCATATTTTTCATTAAGAAAATAAATAGCACCAGAATTAGATATTAGTGGGGGAAACAAATGCTATATAAAACAGTATTTTTGCTGTTTTTTAATATCAAGCAGACTGGAGTGTTGCACTTGCAACAGGACAATGGATTTCATTCAGCTTTAGTGTAAAAGGTTTCAATTCCCATTGACAGCAAAGAAAGTTGGACCATGGCTGAGTAAGACCCACTGAGACTATTGTCTAGTATTTAACATCTGCTTATCATCATATCTGTGGACAAATGTTTGTGAACTTGTCTAGGTGGCTGCAGTTTCTTTTCCCCCATTCATCTCCATCAAAAAAGCTCGAACTTCAAAAACCAAAGCTTCAAAAAATAAGCCACTGAAAGAAAATTATGTGGAATCAGCAGTTTTAACCCCGACATCAACTGGCTTATTTTGAGGTATGTGCACTGTGGTAGAAGATACATTTCATTTTTCAGAATTGGTCCCAAGATTGATTGCTAAAGAAAAAGAAGAGAGAATTACAGTTATTCCCTGAGCAGACTGCAAAGGATGTAGGCAGGGCTGCATGAAAATCATAAGCACAATAAAAGTCACACATTTTCTGCCATTTTCATGGAGCTCTGCAATTTTCAGGTACTATAACAGCCCAGAGACAGAAAATAACTTTACAGGAAAAATTACCATCTAGATCTGCAGCACCACCACTGCCTTAGCACTGTGTGTAACCCTACTTGTGAGTCACTGAACAAAACTAATGTCACAGCAAGGAAAAAGAAGGAATAGCCATTATGTCTCAGCCAGTCCTGGGTATTTCTCTCCATTTGAAATTCATGCCAAGAAAGTATATAAAAAAATAATAATGTAAGTACATTAAAAGCAATCCTTCAAGTAGAGAAAATAACCCAAGGATTTAGCTAACGAGTGGGCATTAGCCCGCATTTTAGCTTACCTCTATACATTTTTTTAATGAACTAATCAACTATTCCTACATGTAGGCATTTTTCAGATCAACTAAATTTAGCTTTATTTGTAAAACTTTTAAAAAAAGGATCATCTGCATCTTTTCAAAGCAACCAGTGGTACCACGTTACCTTAAGTTGCTCCCATAATTACTATGCATCTATGGGGGGCAAAAGTGACAGCATGCCAAGGTTGCATGCCAGCGTTTCTTCAAAGCTACTTTAGTCATCATGACAATAAAAGCTTATCTGTATTCTGTCATGATGTGCTATCCACAAGGCATTATACAACAGTATTTTTTAAACCTGTTAATGTAAGCAATATTGACACTGCCCCTACATAATCTTCCCATGAAATGAGAGAATCTCGTCTATTATTGGCAATTTAATACAATTTTCAGTGGTCCAGCTCTGCATTAGTTATCTGCTTCACCTGCTTCCCTCCCTTGTCCTGTGCTACATCTGAACAAAGGTTTTAGTTGTGTTCCCCATGACAAAAACAGAATAAATTATGTCGTGCTCCTGTCGTTCCAGCAAGCTTGTTAATTGCATTTGTTTCGTATATCTCCAAACAGCCTGGTACATTAATTACATTCTGTAACACCAAGCTCCTCTGATTCACTCTGTCACTTCCACTGAGCACTTTAATTGTATTCCTTCTAGCTACACACAAATTTTAAACACTTACTAATAATTACATTTCTACAGCCCAATGTTTACCATGTCTATACATGTGAAATATACAACTCCAATATTTGTTGCCTTGACTTAGTGAATCATAATGTTTCAAAGAGAAAAAAATAGCACTTGTAACTAATGGATATAAGTGGTCTATCCAGAAAGATGTACAGTACTTAGGATGTACATACATTACACAAAAACTTCTTCCCAACAGACCACACTGATTGAAGGGTAAATTGCACAGCACATTATACAACTTATATTCAGCAATACTTGCATGTCTCCTTTTGCTAGCTTGGGGGGGGGGGGGGGGGGGAAGTGTTTTGCCTCCTGTCTTGTTGAGGACAGAGATACTCAAGCTGCCCCTGTCTGCAAACAATAATTCGACAGTATGTAGAGGCCTTGCTTTGCTTCTGATATATGGAATGATTTCAAGCAGCAGCCTCCTGGAACAAAGTTTCCAAGAAAAATGGCTAGTGTCCCAGAAGTCAAATTCATCTGAAGTCCAAAAAGCTTGTTTAAAGTTAATATCCAAATGCATCCAATTAGGATGGCCAAACATTTAGTACCACTACATACCACACACACATAGCGGTAGAGCTGGTGGTTGGGGGGCGGGGGGGGGGGGGGGACCACTACATACCACACCCACCGAGGGGGGGGAATGG